TCTCTTCTCGAGATTCTAGGAGGGTGAGAGGTGTTTGAAACACTTCTATTGGCTGGAGTAGATCTATATCTCTTTCTTTATGCCTTTATGTCAGCGTTTTTCTTCCGATTTCGTCCAATCTTGTCAACGCTGTTCAACGCGAAATCGAGGAGAATAACAATCTCGTTTGTTTAACGCAAGGATTAGGCTATCTAACTTTATTAGATCTCCTAACTTTATTAACTTTAACTTTATTGGTTTTGCTTTATTAGATCTATTTTATCAACATCTTTATTAGCTCAGCTTTATTAACCCTAACTTTATCTAAGCTGCAATATCCATAACCAAAAGCATAGCTCAATTACCATCCTTGTTGTTCTATCTTCAAGCAAACACTCGGAATAAGCTAGCAGGGTTCGAGCAACTTCAGTTAAACTTTTAAAAGGAATTAAATAGTTCTTAAATAGTTCTTAAATAGTTCTTAAATAATTACTTAAATAGTTCTTAAATAGTTCTTAAATAGTTCTTAAATAGTTCTTAAATAGTAATTAAATGGTATTAACAGTACATAATAAGTAACTTTTAAGTAATTAAACTGACTTATCAATTTTGGAAATAAGGGTTAACGTAAAACTGAAATATTAAAATAAGTAGAGCTGATCCACAGCTGATCCACAGCTGATCAGCTCTCAGCTGATCCACACAGTTGATCCACAGCTGATCTCTGATATCTCTGATCATTTAAATCATCCTGCTTGTCCTTTACTACTCAAATTCACATATTCCTTTTTTTTTGCAGCTTCATTTTTTAGGTCCACTTGTTTCCATTTATTTTCACAAACCAATTTGCGGAGTGTCAGTATAATGAGGCAACATTCCAAGGCAGCTTCGGAGGAGAAGTAGAGCCAATATGGAGAAAAGAAAAGAAATGAGACAATGTGGAGAGCTTATTGGAGAGACTCTTGCTAGTAAATGAGATGCCAAATAGCCTCTACCAAGCCTCTACGAAACCTCCCATCGTTCAGAATAATAAAGTTGCAACACTCGAATTCTTAAAGCTTGTAAAAGTTATTGTTATATGACTGGTTGGTTGTGGAGTTATTATTTTGACTTATGGAGATGAATTGCTTATGGAATTTTTAGAAATATGGGCAAAAAGAAAGAATAAGAACAAAATCTATCGAATTTTCATCATTTCAACTTGCAATCCCCAAATATTACTGCTCGGATTGTACTTTTTACTGTGCGGTTTTGATGGAATGGTTTGGCGATAAGTGACACTACGCCGACTCCGTCACTTTCCGGGAACTTGAGCGATGGATGGATGACCTCTTGATCGATTCTGACAATCCCCCCACTCATTGATAACCGATTCAATCAACTATTCACTTGTCCAATGAGCCGGAAAACTTGTGATTGGGGTTGGCTTTAAAAAGATCTTACTGGGGGGGTGACCACCGCCTTCCAGCCAATCGACAATACTCATTTGTTGAAAAAGAATCAGCAGATCTTTCTAAATCCGAAAAATAGGTATCTCCGGTGTGCTGACAAGACAAAATTTTTTGAGAATGGTCTTAAAGTTTAGGATTTTTAAAGATTTTTTCGATTTCAAGCTTATAAATGCCTTATAAGGCGCCTTTAAGCTGCTCGGTTGCCTTATAGGGCAACCAGCCAGCACCCTGCTGGCAGGTGCCTTGTAGTCTAGTGGTTAGTGGGGCGACTCATAGTCTGGAGGCGACACCTTTTTGCTTCCTAGTTCAATCCCGCTTAGGACAAACTTTTGTTAAAATGTGAAATCTGTGTTTTGTAAAATGATTAAAAGCTATTTTCAAGATCCTTAAAGAACTATTTAAAAGCTTCTCAAAACCAGCGAAACCATTTAAAAAAGCTTAAAAGCTTCAAGATCCAGTGAGAATTCTTTTAAAAGCTTTTCAAGACTTTTACCAAAACCTACTTTTTAAGGTTTATTTTCGTTTGCAAAAGCTAGATTTACAATAAATAGGTTTGCAAAAGCTAGATTTACAATAACTAGGTTTACTAAGAGCTAGATTTGCAATAACTAGGTTTGCAAAACTAGATTTGTGCTAGGTTTGAAAAGCTAGATTTGCTCATAGGTAGCTTTTCAAAGAGTTAACTTATCGGTTTTTCAGTTTTAAAAAATGTGTAGCTTGTTTTAAGTTGAATATTTGAACTTATTGAAGCAAAAGGCCCAATTCAATCCCCCACTTGGATCTTTCTTTTCCCCCCAATTTGTCGTTTCTTTTTGAGTGTGGCCTGTCGGACAGGGTCGCGCACTTTGACAAATGTCCACAGTTGATTAAGATCTGGCAAAGAGATCGAAAAATGGTGAAAGAATATCAAGGCATCAACAGAATACCAAGGCATCGACAGAATACCAAGGCAAAAAGCAAAATGGTTTGTCTGGCATTGATTAATTGAAAATGGATTGTTGAAACACGAGTTTTTTCTTTTTCAACCGATTCTTTCAAATTAATAAAGCCAGGTTGGGATTCAAAGAAAATCGAGTTCTTTGAGTCCGAAAACTGCGCTTGTTTAAAGTCGATTTCTCATACCAATATTAGTAGCCCAAATCAAAGCTTGCACTCAAACTTTAATCCATCAAGTTTATTTAACTGATCTGGTTCTCCGGGGTTCTACGGGGTTCTACGGGGATTAGCAAGTTCACCTGTCCCCTCTTTTTCCATTCCCCCCTTTCGCCATTCATTCAGCCTTTTAGTAAATGTTGACCCCAACAAGTACCTTAAAACAAACATAAACACCTGCATAGGCAGGTTGAACGAGTGAATTTTGGTTTGTTTAAGACAACAATTGATTGTTGGCAGCTTAACAAGTGATTGTTAGCAGCAGCAATTGATTCAAAACTCTTTCAAAGCTTTAAGAACGAGCCGATCGTTCTATAACGATCGTCCTATAACAGATTGTGCTTTATAGATCGTCGTAAACAGGATATTTTCTCAACGATTGTTCTATAACGATCGTCTATAACAGATGTGAAGTATAAACGATCGTAATATAACAGATCGTCTATAACGATCGTATTTAGACGATCGTCTATAACAGATTGTACTATAACACATCGTCTCCAAAAATGGATCGTCCTATAAACGATCGGCCTTTAACAGTCTCGTACTTGTCTTACGTGGGTATTTAGATCCCCTTTCTATCATCTCCTTTGAGCTCTTCTATTCTTTCCATTCTGCATTCTTTACATGTACATTCTTTACATGTATTGGGTTAAGAAATAGGTGTTTTATCAAGTACAGCTTTTTGCACCATAAAACCTTCTTCAAATACACGTTTTGATGAGCCTCATCAAATGATTACTATTTCTATTTTACAAATGGCTTTTGAGATTCCACCAGCTTTCTTTTTTGGGATTTTGTGGATTCCCAAACACAGCTAATCAAAATGACAAACGTCCGGCTGTTGCTTGAGAAGGGAGTTTCTTCCACATAAACCTCCTTTGGTGTTTATATGATAAAAAAAGATAAACACACTCCAATTACACATAGGATTGCAAATTTTCAGGAAGATCCCTCCAACCGTTTTACTCTAGATGACAGTTTATCGATTTTGTTTTGAAAAATGATCCTTTCCCTCGTTGAGTTGAGGCGCTGTTTGAGTTCTCTTTTAAATATTATTTTGTAGAGAATTAGTTACCCTTACGGATATCAAACGCATATCATTTGACAAAGTCTGCTATAAGATTTTTAGAAATTTCTTTCCCCCCATTCGAGGAGCGCCGACTCATTCTCCCCAACCCAATACATTCTATACATAGCTATTGTAGATCCTGTTCTTTAATCATTTTTAAAATTTAAGATCAAGAAATTGACAGATACAAGCTCATAAACGAGTGAAATGATGAAATGATCATGACCCCTCTTAAGCTATTTCTTACGCATATTATTTCTTACGCATTTTGTCCCCCCCATTTCTCCAAAACTGCTTATTTCTTTCGCAATATGGCGCCAGCAGGGATCTCACCGGATTGCCTTGTTTTTTAACCACAACGGTGCTGTAAAGAGAGAGAAAAAGAGATCGAAATCGTTTCACATTTGAATTTAATGGGAAAACAGAAATCTTGGGTAGTTCTCTTGTCAGATGTGAGTGAGATTCATGACCCGAAAGTGTGAAAGGACAGAAAGTGCGCACTTTTCTGTCCTTTTCTCTCTTTTATTGACATTCAGTGACGACAAATTGATGGCATTTTGAGATCTCTTGGATTGGAACGATTGGAAACGATTGGAACAATTGTAGACAATTGTAGACAATTGGTAGACGATTTTGTTGGAAAAGAATTCCTAAGTCTTGCTTAGAAATTTAGAGATTGATTGACTGAAATTGATTGACTGAAATTGATTGACTGAAATTGCTTAGCGGAATTGCTTAGCGGAATTGCGTAGCCCAGGTGCTTACCGGAATTGCCTTACCCAGGGTCCTTACCAGTTGATTGGCTTCTTGTTTACTGAACAAATTGATTCAACAAATTGTAACAAGTCGTTTTTCCCTTGCCTTGTAGTCATTTCTTGAAACCTTTTTGTCATTAATTTTTGAATGAAATCTTACGTTTCCAATCTCCATAGTAAGCCTACAATTAGCTTTTATTCTCAAATCAAAATATAATCCAAGAAATCCTCAAATGATGACCTTGGAAATAGTGAAAATCATTTCCAGAAACCCCAAAGGTCCCCTAATACCCGGTAAAGGCTACCGGTAAAAGATTTACCTACCAGCTATTTCCGCCATTTTCAATCTCCCTCTACCCGGATTCCCCCGGAAAACCAGAATTTCGAGCCGGTTCTCCCGCTTCTCCTGTGGATGAAGGGAGTCCCACGGCGGAATGCGATTAACAACGAGACCAACTCAGGACGGATACTCACTTTTGGAGTCAAAATGGAGAGCCCCTAATTGGGTTTTTAGAAAGAGGGAAAAGGGTTTTGGGATGAGTTTGAAAAAGGGGGAGAGTGGAGAGTGTGAAACCGAATAGCCCGGACTCATTCGGTGATGGTAGCTGTCTCGAGACTTGACAATATGTATGCAAAAGATAAATTGGAGATACTTTGATGAGGAAGTGGATAAATGAGCTGCATTTGAACAGAGATCCTGTAAATTCTTAGATCATTTGGTGAAGACAAAAGTAAAGTAATCACTTTGAGAAGATCTTTGAGCTTCGGACTAATATTTGAGTTACTAGTTTTTGCTTTGCCAGTTTTGCTTTGCCAGTTTTGCTTTACCAGTTTTGCTTTGCCGGTTTTAGCTTTGCCAGACTTTGCTTACTTAATCTTCAGCTTATTTTAAGCACTAGTAGATTTTCTTCTCTTTCTTCCTTTTTCTTCCCCTTTTCTTCCTTCCACCTTCCCTTCCTTTCTTTCTCTCTTCCTTTCTTCCTTACTTCCTTCCTCCGCTTCCTTCCTTTCTCTTCCTTATCTTTCCTATTTCTTCTTGGCAAAAAGGTACCGATAGCTCAGTAGTAGAGCATCTGCCCGTAAGAAGCAACGGGGTAGCCAGAAGGTTCAATTCCTCGATTTCAAATCCTTTGCCATTCATTTCTTTACTTTATTACTATTTTGTTCAGCAGATCTTTAAACATTTAAGCTCCAAGCAAGGCAAAATTATTGGTAAAATCAGGAGTTTGTTCTCCGTTTCTTAAATGGAAGACCAATTCGTTTTCTTCTCCTTGTCAGCTTCATGTCTGACTATAAGATGAAAGAGCTAAGTTTAAGAACCTTTGATAGAAGCCAGAGCTGCATGAGATCAAGGCATTGCATTCCAGTTTCCGCTGATGCATGTATACAAGTATTGAAGATAAAAGCCGACTTAAGAAAGCTAGCAAAAAGCTAGTGTAAAGCTGTGAGATTACTATTTACTTGAGTGGTTAAAGAACCAAGTGTGGTCGTCTCAATTGCCTATCTCCTGAACAAATTTTTAAACAGTGGCAGCTGTGACAGCAGCCGTATGAATTTCTACGATAACATTAGGTTAACAAGCTCTAGGAGAGTTCTAGGGGAGGCTCGTCTCTTGATCTTTCGTTCTTGATCTCTGCTCTCTTGATCGTGAGTTTCAGTCTTGTCTCTTGATCTTGATCTTGTTATCATCAGCTTAACAAGATCTGGGAGATCTGGGAGTTCATCTCTCTTTCAAGAAACTTTCATTGTTTTTCCCCACATTGCTACCTCTAGGTCTCTTGTGGAGTCTACATGTACAAGCGAGAAAGAGAGAAGAGAAAGAGAGAGGTCCGGTGAGGTTCTCCCAGAGTGTCGGTCCCACTCGAGACTCAGCCTGTAAACTGAAGAAGAAAGGGAAACAGGTTGAGTTGACATAGACCATTCTCTTTCTTTTCCTTTCCTTTCCCCCTTTCCTTTCCCGTTTCCTTTCCCCAGCTCACATTCAGCCTCTTCAAGCGATTATCGTACGCACTAATGCCTTACATAACCAGAGAAAATATGAAAAATCAGGATTTTTTTGCCTAATCTGTGCTCTTTGTTTGAATTAGATTTGAAGAGTTTCACAAATGGAAAGAAAATTTACCGTATGATTGGGAAGCTAGGGCCTTTTTAGGGAAAGCTAGGGAAAAGCTAGGTGCAAAAAACGGAAGTTTGAGAAATTTTCCGAGGAATAGTTATGGAAGAGATTTATTAGAATAAATCAAACCAGCTCAGAAAATCAAAAGTCAGCTCAAAAGTTTTAACAACAATTGGGTATTGAAAGCTGACCTGAAATCTAAGCTTCAACTCTATAGTTTGGACTCGTGTCAAATCATTCAGGATTCAGCTAAGCTTTAGCCAAGGATTTAGCTCAGGCTTCCTCTAAGTTTAGCTGAGTTTAGCTAAGCTTTATCTATGGTTTTGCTAAGTTGTGCTAATCATTGAGGTTAAAGTTAAGTTAAATTTAGTTCAATTCAGTTAGTTTAGTTCAATTTACTTCGTTTAGTTATTCAAGTTCCTTAGTAAATGCCTTTTTTAATGTAATAATTTGTTTTTTTGTTTCTTTTTAGGTTGGAATGCCAATTTCTCGTGGGGATTTTCCCCGGAAGATGGGCTCGATTTATCGGTGTCCCTTTTGCCGACTCTTTTCCCCTTTTCGATTTCTTTCCCAAAGTCTTCAGATCTCTGTCTCGCCTTTCCGACGGACGAATCCTTCGCTACCTTTTCATCACTATTAGATAATAAAGCTGAAGTAAGGTTCATAAAGATACATAAAGATACAACGTATTAGATTGACTGCAAAGGGATTTCTGAGTGTCCCAGTGATAAGTCATTACTGTAATTACTTATAGATTGGAGTGAAATTGGGTAAGATTGAATTGTTTGTTACGTGAAACATAAAGAAAGAGTTTCATTGGTATTTTCTATTGTTTTTTTTTCTTTGATTACATTTTTGTTTTATTTCATGTTTCATTTTCTAAATCTCCCAAAAGTAACAAAATATTTGTGACTTTTTAAAGGATTTATTGAGATTACGCTTTTTTTGACCAAACTTTGACGATTTCCATATCTATTCTATCACAATTCACCACATCAAGCAAGATACACGTACGGCTGATTAGTGAGACAAGACTAATTATTAATCTCCACAAATCATCACTTAATCTTTCTCATGGGTGAAATCAAATGAACAAGAATCGATGACTTTTGACTTAGGCTACAGTTTGCTAGCATTTGGGTAGGCTAAACCAAAGTGATCCAAGTAATGGTGATAACAAAAGTAATGTTAGTCACCAAACTACCCAATTTGACTCACAAACTCTATCCCATGTGCTTAAGGCATTTAGTTGGATCGAATCAGGGTGAAAGTAAAGCAAAAGGGCTCTTTCACGAGGCATCCAGGGTGTGCCCGTTTAATTATTTGGCGAATTGCCCACCAACGAGGAGGAAACTCTAATGGGGGAAATGTGAAGTGATGAGGAGAAAAGAAGTAGTAAAAGTAAGAGTACTGCCCGTCTTCTGACTTAGCTCACATCCAATCTTAGATTCATTTACTTTACCTAGTTCTAAACAGCTGGTTTAGCTCCTAGTTTATTTGATTTGTGTAGGGCATTTGATCCTTGCCTTGCCCCTTTTACCATTGGCAGAGTTTGGAGGCTAAAATATCTAGGTGTCAGGCTGTACAGTTTAAATATTCTTGGCAGCATTAAGATTCATAGAGTCTTTCTCTATCGATTGGTACAAAAGCTATTCCGGTTGGATACCCCTTCTTTTGTTGAAGATATTAAATCAAAGCGGCAAGGGCGATTCTGGGTTCCTCTAATGCGCTCCGCCATTAACAATCCCCACTTTGGGCTCAAATATCTTTGGTGTTGAGCTGTCTCGTCTAAATAGTTTTTATACCAATCGATAGAGAAAGACTTGGCGCATCTAATGATTACCAAGAACATGCATAAATTGGACGGTCCAACACCAAGATATTTGAGCTCAAAGTTAGATTGCCAATAGCAAAAGGGCGCGGCGTATATCGTCCGATAACCAGTTCATTTAAAGCAAATTGATTCGTTTTTTGCACAAACCAAACCCAAGCCAACGCCTAAGTTTAGCTCGGCTTAGTTGCACCAGAACTGAAACTGAACTACTGGTAAACTAAACTAAACTGAACATTCTAAAGAATTGAAAAAGAAAAATGGGTTTGGTAACATAAAAATGTTATGAAAAGAAGAAATAAGTGAGAGAAAAGAGAGAGAAAAGAGACAATTTATGTAAATTTTTGTTCAAAACCTTAACCCACCTATACCACTCGGAGTCCCTTCTCGTAGTTTTTGTCGAAAAAGTGAACCTCTCTGGGCCGGGTGCGTGGATTTTTTGATTGAGTCGAAGGAACTCCAGTAAAGCACGGGTGCCAGCCTGAATTTTGTTCAAATATTCTACCGTAAAATACTGTAATAGTACCCCACCCCCCTCGTACAGTCGCGTAGTCGCAAAAGTCGCAAAAGTTTTTTAGTATTTCATTTTCCAAATATTTTCAAAAAATGCGTCTTTGGTATCAAAAATAGCTGAAATTCAGGGCTATTTTTTGATTTGAATCCCTGAACGAGTTTTTCTGGATACTGGTTTAGGCTACAATGCGCTTAGGTATCAAAAATAAGCCCTGAATCTCAGCTATTTTTTGATACCTAAACGCGCATTGTATGCATAAACCAGTCTCAGAAAAACTCGTCCAAAGCTAGACCACCCTACACTCTGCACCGTCATTATCGGAGTGGGGTACTATTACAGTATTTACGGTAAGCCTTTAAACAGTAACAGCTCTAAAATCGCTTAAATTTGGTAATTTTTGACCCAATTCTTTTGAAATTTGAAATAAATAAATAAATTCAAATTGACAATCACAATTTGCGGGAAAAGTTATGAAGAGGAATGCCCATCTTATCAGTTTTACCGCTGATTGGTGCTGATACTGATACTGATTAGTTTTACTGCTGATTAGTGCTGATAAAGTTGAGATAGAGCAAATTTTTTTCAATAAATCCAATCAATGAACAATCAATGCACTTGCCTTTTTCACACCAATAATGATCGCCGACGGGAATCGCTTTTCTTTGTGTCCAATTGGAGCGCCATCGATAGCGAATATCAAGTAAAACAGCAGAAATATTAGCCGACCATTTGGGGCCATTTTCTGTAAAAAAACTATCCTTTTATATAATAATAGAAAAGCGAAAACAAAGCTTTTGCGAAAATTAAGTTTTCAAGAAGAAATTCTAATAAAGTAGTCGATCAAGATGAGCATTTTATAACAGAAAATGGTATACATTTGATAATAAATGAATAAACAATGATAATAAACAATAAATGATAATAAATGAATAAACAATGATAATAAATGAATAAACAATAAATGATAATAAACGAAAAAATGGAAGTAATAAATGAAATTTTCTGTATCTAACAATAATAAAAAAGATTTGAGTGTCAAAATGCCACGTGCCACGAGAATAGTTTGTCTCTAAATGTTAAAAGCTTGTCTCTAGCTTGTCTAAATGTTAAAAGCGTCTCTAAATGTTAAAAGCTTATCTCTAGCTTGTCTCTAGCTTGTCTCTAAATGTTAAAAGCGTCTCTAAACGTTAAAAGCTTGTCTCTAGCTTGTCTCTAGCATGTCTCTAAATGTTAAAAGCTTGTCTCTAAATGTTAAAAGCTTATCTCTAGCTTGTCTCTAAATGTTAAAAGCGTGTCCCTAGCTTGTCTCTAGCTTCTCTCTAAACGTTAAAAGCTTATCTCTAGCTTGTCTCTAAATATTAAAAGATTCAACGATCAGTCATTAGTGACTCTTTACCTTGGAAAACAGAAAAATAAGTGGCAAATGTGGAGAAGGAAATTAGCATATGCAAATTTAAGGACATGAGACTGAAGATATTAGAAAAGGAGACCCTAGGGAGATACACAAGACAAAAGCAGGTTGGTCGGAGAATTTGTGGAAAGAGGGAAGGGGTGGGGTGAAGGGGCGGAGCCAACCCCAACCCCAGAAGAGACTTTTTGATCGGTTCATGAGGGACAGCCCCTTTTCTTGTCTTTTTTTCCACAAATCCTTACTGTACCTTGTTTTTCGAGTTGAAAAACAATGGCGATTCGACTCTTGGAAATTGTCGAGAACCAAAGTCAATGCTTACGCCATGAGCAAAGCGACAAATTTGTCAAATTCAAATTGTCGACAATATTCACGGAAATCGATCAATGAGGTGAAAGCCGAGCTGAAAGTCAATGCTTCAAATCAATGCTTCAAATCAATGCTTCAAATCAATGCTTCAAAGACAACCGTCAAAGACAAAGATCACAAAGATCGTCAAAGAAAATCCGCATATCAATTTGGAGCATATCAGCAAGTCTTATAGAATAGTTAGATTTAAGAAAGCAATTAGAAATTGCATCTTTTTCCAGTCTATTGCACCTTTTTCCAAAATGATCAAGCCCTAGGAGGTTTGATGAGTTTTTCAATGACTTGAAAGAGGAAATTGATTGATTTCTGTCTGTGGAATCTGAAAAACTTGCAAATTTTAGTTTCTACAGTCTTTAGCTCCGACAAATTACCATTTTAGACAACCCACTTTCCCCACCTGCCTCCACGAAAACCAAAAGTCGTTAAAAGATCGAGTTAGTCTAAATGAGGAGATTTTCTTTTTTTCCAAATTTCCCCTTCATTTGCAATAACAATTTTGAAATGAACCATTCCTCAATGAGCACAAGAAAAGAGAAAAGACTGACTGGCGTTCATAAGCTTCTTATTTTCACAGTGATAAGTGTTCGCTGGGGACGGGAAAGGGACAAAACCCTGTACAAGAAGTGATATTTTGAATCTAAATTCAAAATATATCAGATAGATTTGATTTAAGTAGAGCCAAAATGTGTTTTTCTTTTCTTTTGTTTGATACAAGCTTTTTGTTTCTTCATTTTAGATCTCTAGCTTTCCAGAGCTCTAGCTTTCCAGAGCTCTAGCTTTTTAGATCTCTAGCTTTTCAAATCTCTAGCTTTTCAAATCTCTAGCTTTTCAAATCTCTAGCTTTTCAAATCTCTAGCTTTTCAAATCTCTAGCTTTTCAAATTTCAACTGCTTCTGGATAATTTCTTCTAGTGATTGATTGAGGGTTTTTCCTTCGGAAGAAACAAGATTTGTGACATCGAGATACGATAATTGTGCCCTTTGGCCCTTTTCTGGAGTCAAGATCTCTTGGAAGGGAAATGAGAAAGATAATTGTGGACCGGGGAAAGGAGTAGGTTGTGGAGTTGAGTTGAGTTAAACCCCCGCACAATCTCAGTTTACTTTACTAGCCTCAAGTTTAGGTTTGAGACTTGGCAAAAGTTTGACTCAATAATTCTTGTTGTGGGCAATAACTCTTGTTGTTCAATAACACTTGTTGATAATAACTCAATAACTCAATAAGCCATTGTTTTGATTGTTTAGGGTTTTCACATAAAATAGCGTCCTGGTCAAGTTAATAATCAAACAAACGTTTTTGATTTCATAAAAGTAGTGCATTGTAACTTTTGCTCAGATTGCTTTGCTCAAATTGCTTTGCTGAGATTGCTTTGCTGAGAATTGCTTTGCTCAAATTGCTTTGCTCAGATTGCTTTGCTCAAATTGCTTTGCTCAGATTGCTTTGCTCAGATTGCTTTGCTCAGATTGCTTTGCTGAGAATTGCTTTGCTGAGAATTGCTTTGCTCAGATTGCTTTTTTTTTAAAAATACCGACTGGGGCTACCAGTGGTGAATTTATCGCATACACGAAATATATCAATCACAATACAACGACACACACAATACTAGGCTATATCTTAACTTAACCCACGTCATGACAGACGGCTCCCTAACCCTAAGCTCAATGGGGAACTAAATAGCTTTTTTTGGTGGTGAAGGGAAGATGACGATGAAGGAGTGGCTTGTCACTTTAAAGAACTGGGGCCACAACCACCAGACTGCCCTCCAGAAAACCTCTCAACCCGAAGGGAAAAGGAAATCCGAAGGGGGTGACCATGTCGCATGTGGGGTTCGAACCCTCGACCTTCCGATTAAGATAAAAGACACTTAACCAGTCAGCCACACGTGCTGAGAATTGCTGAGAATTGCTTAGAATAAACATTGCTGATTGCTCAGAATAAACAATTTCAAATGCATATTGGGTACAAAATGCAATCGTCACTACATTCTCGAGCTCTTGATGGAAACAGAAGTCTAATTGTAGACAAAGATGAGTGATTGGCTGAGTCTCTAATCGTTTTCCCCTAACTTCAACCCTTGATCTCCTCTCTTTTCCCTTTTCCAATCCTCACCGGCACTTCAAAGCCAATACGGTGAATTTGAAAATGCATTGCCGGCAAGCTGCGAGTAATTACTGACCCCGCGATTTACGGCTCCCCTCGCGCAATACGTTTACGAATTGCAAATGATACTCGGAGAGTTATAAGGGAGTAAACGAGTTAATAACAATCTCAACCTCTTTTTAAGCATGGACAACAGAGTTTTTCAAGTGATTCAGCCTTCGGAAGGCCCAATTGTTTATTGATTTGTTATTTTGAAAGTTTATTTCACTTGTTTTGCTATTTGTTAGTTAACTTCTGGTCGTAAATTATGAACACTTGCCAGAAGCGGTTTTTAAATAAATTTTAGTTACAAATAACAGAAACCAAGGAAACAAAACTATGGTAATTCAGCAATTCTAGTTTTTCTATAAAGTTCTAAAGCTAGCTATAAGTTTAAGTTTTAGTACAATAGCTTTTAGCTAATTTAAAAAAAGTTTTGTCACAAACTTGTGAAGTGAACTGAATTGTATGATTCTATACAAAAAGCTTATGATACTATAAGAATAAATTGCTTTTAGCAGTAGCTTTTAGCAGTAGCTTTTAACAGTAGCTTTTAACAGTAGCTTTTAACAGTAGCTTTTAGCAGTAGTTTTTAACAGTAGCTTTTAGCAGTAGTTTTTAACAGTAGCTTTTACCAGTAGCTTTTAGCAGTAGCTTTTAACAGTAGCTTTTAACAGTAGCTTTTAGCAGTAGCTTTTAGCAGTAGCTTTTAACAGTAGCTTTTAGCAGTAGCTTTTAACAGTAGCTTTTACCAGTAGCTTTTAGCAGTAGCTTTTAACAGTAGCTTTTACCAGTAGCTTTTAACAGTAGCTTTTAGCAGTAGCTTTTACCAGTAGCTTTTAACAGTAGCTTCCAGCAGAATTGCTTTTAGTACAATAACTTTTAGCTAATTTTAAAAAAGTTTTGTCACAAACTTGTGAAGTGAACTGAATTGTATGATTCTATACAAAAAGCTTAAAAGTTTAAACGTGATTCAGAAAGAAAGGAATCGTTATTGAAAAGGATTTCACAGTTAAAGGACTAATTCTTGAAATTGTTTGCCTGAAATTATTGCAATTTAAAAATAAGTACAATAGAAAAAGTTAAAGATTGAAAAAAAGCTTAAAGAAAAGGCTCAAAGAAAAAGCTTTCCACGTGTTCAACGAGCAATTCATTTTATGGGATGATTCTAAAGCTCATAACAACAAGATTTCCTTTGCAAAGCTCAAAATCGTCAAAACGGTTGTAAAAAGAAGTTTCATTGTAAAATCCAATCTAAAACATTGTCGTTGTCCAATCTAAAACACGTCGAAACTGAAAACTTGGAACTGAACTTGAAAACCTTTGAATATTGTTTGAAAGTTGATGGGTTTTCTCACAGAATCCCAGAAGAAAAAAAGTGAGCAAAGAAAGCGGGTCAGCCAGCCGGTGTTTTGCGCGGTGAAAATGAAAAGAAACGCCTGAAACCGAAAAAGATAAAAGGGATTTCATTCGTGGGAATTTGCATATCCAATTATTTTTTTTGTTAAATTGTTATAATGTTAATTGTTACAATGCTAATTGTAATACAATATTAGCATAATGTAATAATTACAATTGTAATACAATTGTAATACAATTACAATTACAATTACAATTACAATTACAATTACAATTGTAATAGAATATTGATTACAATTGTAATACAATATTAATTACATTATGCTAATAATACAATATTAATATCGTATTATTATATTATGCTAATTTTTAGATTCTTCGATTAGAGTTCGATTCTTAATATAGATTACGTTCGGTGCACAAAAAGCGAGCTGCAAATGGGCTGCAAACGCCGGGTGCACTACACT